TTTTGTACAGCATAATAATTATAATAATAAGGTAGGTCGGCAAGGGGAGCACGGAAAGGACGCCCCCGAATCCAGCAGCAGACCAGCCGAAGCGTTGCAACGACAGCCTCCGGAAGAGAGGCCAGTTCGGGGAACCATCCATGTGATAGTGGGAGGTTCGGTGGTAGCAGGGTGTACTTCGGCAGCAGCGCGGACATCAGTTCGCGAGGCAACCCGAGAAGAACAGAACCCTCCAAAGAGGCCAAAGACAGAAGAACCGATCTTCTTCACGGAAGACGATGCGCGAGGTGTCCACTACCCCCATGATGACGCGCTCGTCATAAAACTAAGGATTAGCGACTTCGAAGTCAGACGCGTACTTGTGGATTCAGGTAGTTCGGCGGACATCCTCTTAAAGTCGGCATTTGACCAGCTACAATTGTGGAGAAGCGAGCTGAAGCCCGCAAACACTCCTCTGGTGAGCTTCAGCGGAGAGGAAGTCAGGCCCCTCGGGAAGATAACAATACCTGTGGAAGTCGGCACATGGCCTTGTGCGGTCAGACTCAACCACGATTTCCTGGTGGCCGCGATCCCCTCCCTATTCAATGCCATAATAGGGCGGCCAATTACACATATTCTGCGGGCAGTGGTCTCCACCTACTATCTGGCAATGAAGTTCACTACAAACTTCAGTGTAGGGGTAGCGCAGGGCGACCAGCTTGAGTCCTGCAAGTGTTATGTTGCCGCCCTGAAGGGAAAAACCAAGGCGGCCGAAGACCTCGAGCTGGAGCAGGGCGAGGAACGAGCTTCGCCCATAGAGGAAACGGTCGCAATTCTAACCTCGGCTACGAATCCGGCTCGGACGCTACAGATCGGTGCTTCCGTCAAGGAGCCTCTACGATCTGAACTGGTGAGTTTCTTCAAAATTTAGATATTTTTGCATGGTCCGCGGCCAATATGCCTGGTATTGACCATGGCCTTATAACTCACAAACTTAACACTGACCCTGTAGTCAGACCCATTAGATAGAAGAAACACAACTTAGCCCCAGAGCGCTAGAG